TTTGTGTTGCTTTCACAGTGCGTTCACAGTTGGACTTGTTGATCTTGGAGGTCTTTTCCAACCTTAACAATTCCATGATTTTATGATGCTATGATTTTCTTCCCTTGGCTTTTTCTTTTTGCAGGACAGCGTGGATGTGACCAAAGTCGCCGTCATGGGCCATTCCTTCGGCGGGGTGACCGCGGTGCTGGCCTTGGTGAAAGAGCCCAGCTTCAGGTGGGTGACAGTGGGGATGCTGCTGTGGAGCCACCAGCAGCTCCAGGGACACCCAGTGTGTCCCAGTGGGAAGGGAGGCTATGGTGGGTGTCACAGCGCTGTCTGTCTGTCCTGCCGCAGCTGCGCGGTGGCTCTTGATGCCTGGATGTTCCCCCTGGACAACTCCCTGTACCCGGAGGTGCCCAAACCCGTGCTCTTCATCAACGCCGAGAAGTTCCAGACGCCGGAAAGCGTTGCCAAAATGAAGAGGCTGAGCTCCAGGAACAGCCAGACCAAGATTATAACCATCCTGTGAGTCAGGGGTCGGGGACACCCACGGCCCTGGATTCTCCAGGAGCACCCCCAAGCTGTGTCCCAGCACAAGGGACCTCTCCTGGCCCCCACTGAAGCCAATCCCTTCCCTGTCCCAGGGGATCTGTGCATCAGAGCCCGACCGACTTCACCTTCCTCAGCGGGATGCTCAACCGCATCCTGGGTGCGAGGGGGACCCTGGACCCCTACAAGTGCCTGGACATCACCACCCAAGCAGCCCTGGCTTTCCTGCAAAGGCACCTCGGTACGGTGTGGGGCTCAGGAGCTGCCCTGGTCATGGGGGGCTGCGGGGCGGTGGTGGGGGTTGGTGGTTTGGTGCTTCCCACCCCATTGCACAAAGCCGAGGGCTGCTGTGGCTGCTCCTCCTTCCCACCTGGGGCCAGGCTGTGGTAACCCCGGCACCATCTCTGCCCCATGTAGACCTGAGAGAGGATTTCGACCGCTGGGACGAGCTCCTGGAGGGCATTGGGGACTCAGTGGCCCCAGAAGCACCGTTCTGCCACCCCAAGCTGTAACTTGCCCCATGGAGGGAGCCGGGTATGGGGAAAGTGCTTGCTTCTTGTCCAAAATGAACCATGGAGGAGCCATCGGGGACAGGAGGACCCACGGAGAGAGCAGGACCTGGGACCATGCTCATTCGGTGTCTGGTGGCCGCGGTGCTCACCGAAATGAGCCCCCCCTACTTGAGGGAATAAAACCCCCAGGGATGAAGAGCAAGGCGGCACCGTTCTTGCACCCAGGGGGTGGGTGGGCATCGACCCCTTGCTGGGCCTGGCTGGGGGTGCTGCAGCTGTGGCACATCTGGCAGGAGCAGACAGGGGAGGTTCAAATTCAGCCAAAAGAACCGGGGCAAAGAGAGGCAGCAGCAGGGCACCCAG